CCATTTGTTGTGGTAGTCTCTGGGAAGACACATATGATCCTGTCGGGGTTCTCACTAATGAGTTGCTTGAGCGTGATGAGCTTGGACGGATCGTTTGGAGTTAAGGAAGGCGGTGAGAAAGCGAGCAAGATGGCGCGGAAAAGGGTTATGCGCTCGACCCTGCGGAGGTGTGGATAGGATTTTGTGAAGATTGGTTGGAAGATGCCCGCAAGGTAGAGCGGGTCGAGAGGCGAAGTAAAGGACGAAGCAACAATGGTGCCAGCCTTGGGCAGATGGTTCTTGGCCGAGTATAATTGTCTGCCATGTCTGTTAGTTCGCATGTCCGCTAAACTATGAGGCCTTCCTTCGGAACTTCAGTTCTTTGCACGGAAGTGAACGTACCCTCTCTTGACCCCGTCAACCTGCAAGTCCACCCACCACACTCCCGGAATTCCTAGCATTAGCCACAGTACCACATATTTCAGCCTTCTGCCCACAGGGATGAACTCTAGGCCAAAGAAGTACAAAAGCGAAAAGGCAATGACGAAAGGCGTACGGACGCAGAAGAGGAAGAGGTATATCGGATACCAGAGGATGCCGACCGGCGGGGGTGGCACAGGGAGGAAAGGCGCAATTGCAGTACCTGTGTCGAACTGTAAGCTGGTAAATCCGGAATCAATGTTTGCGACTAGGGCAATAAGAGGTACTTGGAGGAAAATTGAGTAGTAGTGGTGGCGGTCGTGACGGTCGTGTGCATGGATTCTGTAGACGCACCTTTATCGCGAAATTGGCTGTATTTTTCCATGGCGAGGGGAACGTAACAGGATACAGACAGAAAGACGAGTGTGGGTGTTGTATTACCAAGCCATGCACCGCAAAGGCTGTGAGTGGTATGGTATATTGGAGAAGAGAAAGAGGGACGGGGCACAGGGACGAGTAGGCCAAGCGACGACGCAGCCGCGGTGGAGCAGAGCAAGCAGCAAGCAAACAAACGAGCCCAAACCTCCTCTGTCGTGTTTGGTGACGGACTAAATACCCAAAAAGCCTCCCGCTCCGGACCTCCTCAGTGTGGCGACAAGGCTGCTGCTGCACTGTCGTCTTTGGGCTAGGTGTAGGTATGTTCGACTAGTAGGTGTAGCATCGTGTGTCACTTTTGGCGGGACGCGCGATGAGTGGCTGTGCACAGGCTCCAACGGCGGCGGGCAGCATGTGAATGCCAAGCCTAGGGTTCCTTCCAGCATCCAGCATCCAGCATCCAACGTCATCATTGCATGTGCAAGCCCCAGCAATCAGGTATGCCCTGGCTCTCACATGGTTCACAATATGCATGGCGCAAACGCCGCGGCAGCCATTTTCTGGTTTGACAAATAGAAGGGGTATTGTTGACTATCTGAACTTCTACGGCCCCTACTGGCATCTGGATGCGTCTGCAGGCACCTTGCGCTTCAGCCTCGCCATACAAAAACAGGAGGAAAAACAAAAGCTGAGAGTTACGAGGGGCATCAAAGCACGCTCCAGTCGTGGGGATGAATAGACCTTGCCTGTTCCCGCCAGCAATGCAGAACCAAGAAAAGAATAACACAAAACGTACAAAGGAAATGGTACTGATAGTAGATACTACAAGACCTCAAGGAGGCCAGGCGTCGCATATGCTGGAAAAAAAAAGGGGGGTATGTGCCAATATTACTGTGGATTTTCGTGGCTCTTCAAGCCAAAGAGACGCCGTTGTGCGCCGGTCCTCCTGTTTTTTGTGCGCAAAAGTCGAGGTAGTGCGCGCCAGCCTAGTGTCAATGGCTGGAAATGGTGTGGGCGAGACGCAGCGCCCCAGAACATGAGCGTGCGGTGGTGGGAAAAATGGGGCGTGCAATGTGACACTCTAGCACGGTCTTGCACGGCAGCTTGTACAGCCGTCACGCACTGAGCCGCTTTTTATGCAGATTAAAAGCTGATTACAAGGTACAGAGTGGAATAGGTAGGGGTGTTGCTTCCTACGGTTTGCGCCCGAAGTAAAGTGATTATGTCGGCGCGATGAGAAGGGTATGCGCAAAGGGTATCCTCTTTCGTAATGATCGTCTCGAGCATGCTTACAAAGCCACGTCAAGCACCAGACTGACGTCGCTGACTTGCTGGCCAGCGAGATCCTCAAGCACCGGTATCAGGTCGAGGAGTTCGTTGTCGTGTGCGTCAGAGAACCAGCTGCTGATGGGGACGGCGTGTTGCGGATGGAAGATGTAGGAAGTGGGCGAGTTGTCAATAATAATGGTATCCTTGAGGTCGCGGCCAATCTGTGAGAGATCCTGCACACAGGCATTAGTGTCTGATTGGAACCCGATTTTGGGCTCATATTCTCACCTTTACATAGTTGCCCTGGTGGTTGTAGCAGCTTTCGCGGAAAAGTCGGTGGTGAACAACACCGTGGATGTCGAGTTGATCAAGGAGGGGATCACCATACTACTCTCGTTAGCGGGATTGCCGGAACAAACAATGCAGCCACGTACCTTGGAAACAGATGCTGTAAAAACCACCACTTCGTACAATTCGCCCACACGCTTCATAAACTGGTCCACGCCTGGTCGCTTAATGACATAGACATTGTGGTATTGGCCTTCAATCTCCACAGGAATTGTGAAGTCTGCTTGGTGCAGAATCTACATCAAATTAGTATATAAAGAGGAGCAAATACCGTAGTTGTGACAACATACCTTGAAGCTGCTGTGGACCAAAGTCTCGTCGAGGTCAAGAACCAAACACTTTTTCCCCTGGAACCTGGGTGCAATGGGTCCCAAAAGGTACTTTTGCTCCTCTGGCGCCTCGCCCGCATCTACAACCTGCTCCTGCACAGCCACCTGTCTCTCAGCTAGTGGTGGTGGGGGAGGCAAGTCGACCTTGGATTGTTCGGGTTCGGGTTCAGCGTCAGCGTCGGCTGGATCGGCCTCGTGCGGAACTTCTTTGGATAAGAGGGGCACATCTCGCATTTCGATATCGCTATCAATCTGCTTCTGCTCTTCGGTCTGGTCCTCTATTATACGCTGCTGTTCGGCGGACGGGCGGGGCAAGACGGGAGTGGCGACTGGCGTGGGGTTGGTGATGCTAATCTGAGGATGACCAGTTTGTAATGTGCCGGGTTGAGGGGGCGAGGTTGCTTCCGTTTGCTGTCTCTGGGACGGGCTTCTTGTCACCACCTGGGGGCCATCCTCGACCGAGGGCTGCTCGGTTGTCCCGTCGCCATGGCTGGGCTTGTCGCCAAGACTCGAAGCCAATGTCTCCGTTCCAGTCTTTTCGTCTAGTGGCTCCTTGGAGTCGGTTTTACTCGACTCGGCGATGGTCGGCTCCTGCTTCTTGACGGGCGTCGACTGCGATGTGCGCCCTGCAGGCACCTTCTGGGCCTGCTTGACATTCTCTGTAGGGGCCGAGTCGCCGGCGAGGCGAGACTCCTTGGGTGCAAAGCAAGGCAAGCACGACAGCAAGCCGCCCTTGCGCGTCTTGCTCCTCGTCGATGCCGGGCGGTCGGCCGTGGCGGGCAACGGGGGCGGCTGCTCGGCCTTCTCTGATGGGGCAGCACGCTGCTGAGAGCGCTTGCTGCTCGCCGTGCTGCCGGCCCGTCGTTTGCCCATGAGGCTTCGCTTGGAGCCGCGTCCTATGCTCTCAGCGTCTGCTGCAGTGGTTGCGCCGCTGAGGCCGGTCGTGGGCGTGTGGTTGTCGGTGGACTGGGGGCCGGACTGGGGCACGCCGAGCAGGGAATTCGAGGCGATGGCAGCTGGGTCAAGGTTAGCAGTCGCATCGGAGCGAGATTGGCCGGCGGGAGCGCTGGGCCGGGTCAAGAACGTACCGTTGGCGGCAGATGCGTCAGCAGAGGGCTGCGCGGGTTTGGCGCTCATACTTTTCAGCGCGTCGACAGCCTCGGGCAGAGAGGGCGCGCGGGGGGACCAAAGGGGGTGTGGAGATGGAGAGAGAGAGACGGGAAGGAGAGGAGGAGGAGGAAGAGGAGGAAGAGGAGGAGGACGAGGGCGAGAGCGGAGCGAAAGGTGCCTGGAGCGTCGTCGTGTCGTGTGGTGTAGTGTGGTGTGGTGTGGGGGGGAGGGCCTTGTGCGTGGTTGGGAGAGACGGACGTACGTAGCTGAGGGCGGCCTGGGGTGTGCGCTCTCGCTGCTGTCGCTTTCGCTGTCGTCGCTGTCGTGGGCCGCTGCTTCCTCGTGGCAACAACGGGGGCGGGTCGCGACTGCTCGATCAGCTCGTCAGGGCTCGAGATGGAAGGCGCAGTCACGGTCGTCGCGCAGCTGGGGAAGTCGCTGTCTCGTCGAGGGCGTTCGAGGAGGGAAAGGGCGATGGGGAGCTTGGATCCGCTACTTGGGATGAGGCTGGTTCGCTAACACTAACGCGGGCGGAAATGAGGACGCCGTCTTTCACCGTCATCAGCGCCAAAGCTCCACAGCAACCGCCAACCGCCAATTCACTCCCACGCCCTCGCCCTCGCCCTCGTCCGCGCCCGCTTGCCAACCTACTGCCTGCTGCCCTCTGCCTATGTGACACCCCTCGGCTGGCTGCAGTTTGTCGCCCTGTTTGCTTTTCCCATTCCGCTCATGGCTGCGCCGCCCAGCTCGTGCTCCAACTCCCGGGCAGCCAACCACGGCCAGGGCCCGTCTTCCTGGGGGCTCCACTGCTCGCGGCCTTTGCCTCCCCCATTCGCCCCTAGCCTGCAATTGCTCTAGTCGAGTCCATGGCCAGACCCAAATTCAATTCTTCTCCACGCTGCCCATCGCAGAGAGCGAGGCCGTTCATCAGCCATGCACCCAATCACGCCCTCCGCCGCTTCATGCACCCAGCGCTTCGCACGGGAAATGACTGCCAAGGGCCATTATGCCTACATGCTGCTATGGGCCAGGGGCGTGGCAGTGGCTGGGCAATGGACATGGGTACATTAGCCAGAGTGGTGACAGTTCAGCACGCAGCTTCGTCGCTGGCATCCTCGTCGCTGTCCTCGACTGTCCTCCAACTCCCTTAAATTCAGGCCCGCGACAACCATGCTTTGCGCCCTGCATAATTACGACCTGGCCACCCTTGGATGGGACCGACTCTTGGGCCACGCGACCGTTCGTGCAGCCACAAGCTCGCTGCTCGACTCACGGCTAGCCGCCATGCACGGAGAACCATCGGCTCCTTGGCCTATCACGCCCAATGGCTTCCATGACCCCGGTGCACTTCTGCCGCCCGTGTACTGGATCCATATTGAATGCACTGACACTATTCCTCCAGCGGCGCATGAGCATCGTCAACGGACCCTCAACACTTGTCCTCTTGCTCAGCCGCTGCTTGCGACCAATGACCCCACCATGTCACTGGTCCTGTTGCCTCGTCCTCTTTCATTGCCATTTCTACTGTTCCCTCTCACTGCTGTCACATGTCAAATTCTGACGCGTTCCACTGTGGCGAGTGTGGTGCAGAGCGGGCCGTCGCACGTCGAAGTCATCCCGCGTCGATCGTGCAGCTTGATGCGGCCCCATCCATGTCCGCATCGTCACAAGGCCAACGTCCTGTCTCTGAGGGTGTGCGGTATCCGGCTTCCCCACCGCCCAGTGTGCGCAACGGCTTGCAGAGCAAGTCCACGATCAACAGTCAGCCGTTATTGCAACATATATACCAGTACGCACCGACGCACATCTGATCATGGTCACTCATTACACTGCAGCCCAGCATGAAATGTGCCCTTAAACATACACATTGAATAACTGTAATAAGCTAATGAAGCGTCCCCAATACGTACATGTGTACATACATATACAGTGGCCTTGGCAGCATCTGCTTGTTACAGCCGCTCAAAAGTTGACCCCAGGAACTCGCCGGAGCCCGTAGCCACCGTTGACCGCTCTTGAGCTCTTGTGCACCCCGCACCCATCTGCAGAGCAATCACAAGATATTGGCAGGAATTCTTGCTCGACTCATCAACCATTTAATCACGTTACTATCCCCTGAGTTGAGCACATTCGCAAGAAACGATCGGAACATATACGCCCTCTCCGCATATTCAAGCCCTCTTCCGCGGAGTAAACCGTAATTGAAGGGGCGGCAGTGTTACAGTAAACGTATCCAATATCTCATTCTCGAAAGCTTCTCCTGTCTCGCCGGGTGCAAACGACACGTCGAAATTCTGCGCAACCATGGAAAGCGAGATGCGCAAGCTCAACTGAGCCAGATTCCTTCCGGGACAGCTGTACGCACCTTTGGGTGTGTTAGTTGACTGGCCTCTAGAACACTGTCATGATTGCATAAAAGTACTTACCTAGAGAAAAAGGCAGATATGGTGCCTTGTCGGTTTCCATCTCCACCCTCTTTTCACCGAATCGCTCGGGAATAAAGTCTTCGGCTTGCTGCCACCATCTGGGATCCTTTTGAATAAGCGATATCGGTACAACCACGTTTGTTTTGCTAGGAATATATGTGTTGTCTACTATAATGCCCTTTGCCGGTGTTTCTCGCGCTCCGCCAGTTAACAAGGCAGGGCGAAGTCGTAGTGTCTCACTGATAAAGTCGTCCATATACGAAACCGATTTTACTTTTTCATATGACCACTCGTCGTATCCGCTTGGCATTGTCTGGTCAAGGAGTTGTTGAAGTTTTTTCTGCTTCTCGGGATACTTGGCGAGGAAGAAGAGAGCTCCTGCAAGAGTGGTGGCAGTCGTCTCACTACTATTGTGTCAGCTACTGCTGTCATCTTTTTGACTGAGGATTTCCTACCTCCCGGCAATGATCATCACCCTTGAATCATCCTCGAGTGCGGCTGCGGTTTGGGGCGCCGTAGCGTCATTTTCCTTGATGGCTTTCAGCAACCACGATATCACATCTTGCGGATATTTTTCGCTATCCCAAGTCTACAGTTTGTCAATTCATCAGCTCTATACAGTACAGCTTTGAGAAGCATACCTGGTGTTTTTCCCTGATTTGACCTGCACAAAAGGAGAAGAAATCGGTATAACCCGCCGTCGCTCCAGGTATTGAACTCAAGATATACAGCAACCATGGTACGGGGCTCATTATCCCTAACATGGTCATGTGTTCATGTACACCTTTGACGGCAACATGTTCGACACCACTTTTGAGGTTGTTGAAGTCTTTTCCAAAGCCAACGTCGCCCATGACATCGAAACTGAAGAACATTGACCATGTTGAGGCATCCATGGATGCTTCTCCTTTGTTGGCTAGCTGGCTCTTGAATAGGTCCGCCTTGGCTTTAATACGTGGCTCATATGTGTTCAGTGCTATTTAACGTTAGCACAAACTACTATACCTTGTGAGCCCATACAAACCTTTGATAGAGAAGCCACGGTCCCAAGCACGACGGCGAAGACGATGGGTATTGAAGTCGCGTGTCATGTGGATCGAGCATTTTCCCTGATCATTTCCAGTTTGGCCGTACCATGTTGACTTCAGGCACTCCGAACCAGGTCCATACAGGATCGGAACTGCTGAGCTGCGTAGAACGCTGATTTCTCGTGGCCCTAGGGGTTGTATCAGCAAGCGCCCATCCCTGAATTTCCGAGTACACGACTACTCACCAGTGCGCACAAAGTCACCATACTGCGCGTGCATCTTCTCCAGGTCCTTGTAATACTTGACGTTCTTTGCAGCGAGCCATGCTGCATGAAACTTTGACACTTTAGCAGCAACTGGCCCAGGAAATTTTCGGCACCGATGGAACACTAATCGATAGATGGTGATGGTGGTTAGCAATGCAGTGTTGAAGCTTGTGGCGAACAGCAGAGCCTTCAATATTCCGAACACATATATCATGCCGAAAAAGGTGACCATGGAGGCTGCCATGAAATGAACCATGATGAGCTCGAATTCGATGGGAAGGATACAAAGATGGAAAATGACGCCGAATAGGGCTGCTGCCAAAGCACCATGAAACGCATCTACTTGGGCAACATTGTGTGCAGCATCCTGAAGGACTTCCATTGCAGCAACCAGAGCTCTCAAAGGTTGGTCACGCTGATAAGACTGAGGAACAAAGTAATCTTGGAAATGCTCTGAGGGTTTATGGTTTGGGCTGCGTTCCTTGATAACTAAAAAGAAAGAGCAACGCTGTGTGACCTTGAAAACGAGCAGCATTGCACCCGCATGTAAGGCTTACCAATATCTGCCAATGTTCCATCTATGCAAACACCTAGGTGGATCCTTACACGGAGTTGACAGACTAGGTTCCTCTTGGTAAAGATGATGCAACTCTCGCACATGCATCCCTGGCAGAGAACAGTCCTGCGGGGTATCTAAGTTTCGTTAAGGACCGACTGAAGCAAGGAGCCAGACCCCGGACATGTCGGATCACCTGAAGCGGCCGCATCTCGATTGGCAGTATACTACAGGTAAATATAGGCTTTCTATTTGCTACTTCAAGTAGAAGTAGCTAGGCTACGACCACAGGGAGTACTTACTTATATGGAACCAAAATCTAAAAACAATTGAAATCAGGTACATGCCCCCTCTTGCACCGGCCGGGCACTCATCGCCCTCTATTTCCGTAACATTTGGTCAAGAAAGCCAAATAGCCGTTCGCATAAATGCCGAGGAGGATGCGCGTAACCGCTTCGATAGCCACTTGGCGTAAGTAAGTATACACGACTGTCCCAACCCCGCCGCCGATCTGGGTGGAAGTTGCGAAGGGTAGTAACGGATCATGCCTATCACAGCTCTGTGCTACGACACCACGGTACAGTTTCGGTGGTCGGGGAGGCGGGAATGACGGGGATGTCGCCGATGCATATGAGTTGATTCAGCTTTCCTGTCATCAATGCCAAGCTCCGTTGTCTACCCAACATGCTTTCTCAATACCGTCTCAAATAGCCGGACAATAGTATCAAACTTGGCAATTTATCCGCGACTTCTCGTCGATCATAATCTTGGTCTAGCCAACGTTCATATCGCCCAAATAAACTCCAAAAGACCCAAGATTGTACGAAGATCGAGTGAGCGATGCCACTCGTCGAGAAACTTGTTTGGTCGCTTATTGTTGATTGGCAGGCAAAATGCAGGTTCTAAAGTGGGGGGGGGGGGGGGTTCTATTGTTTGGTGGGTACTGAGGATCCTGACACCTCTATATGGTCGATTGCATCCCATCGCTTCAAGCCTGCCCGGATCCGGATTCGAGTTGGCCGCTTTAGGTATGCAAACGGTTTCGGCGTTGCAAACGGCGTTGAGCTTGTCAGCAGTTTCGGGGGTTTGAGGGCTTGTCAACGGCCTGAGGCGTGTCAACGGCTGGAGACGTAGCGTTTGCATCCGCGCAAGGATACGTAGGTAAGCCGCAGGTGACATAAAACAATGGCTGCGGGGTCAGCTTTGAAAAGTCCCGATCGATGTTCGGAGATAATAGTCGCCAAGGGCAAACACTGGATCGAGCTCTGACTGGTTCTGCGTGAGACATCCCAGCGAGACAGTGGGGGCTTAGAGAGTCTCCCTGTATGATAGCCGTTCCCAAAAGATGGTTCCTACGTATGCATACTTGCGTCCATTACGCCGCAAATCTCTTCATCCTAGAACCTGGCAGATGTCAAAAACCGCTGATGCATGTCAACTGTCAAGTTGAACCTCTGTTTTTGGGCAGCATACTGAAGATCCGTTTCGATTATGCTCCTCAAATACTCCGATATCAGTGTGTAGCACCAATAAGGGCAATTCGTAACGGTCATACGGCTTGGTACGAGAACCTGATACTGGAAGCTTTGATGCATTTGCATTTCATGGATTTGAGTCCGCGGGCATCGAAGAAGGCAGATCACTGACAAGGAGATTTCTAAGCCCCTTTCATTCCCCGAGGGCTCGACCGTCATAGCAAAGACTGACTGAACTTAGAATCTGTAACTGGTTTCTGGAAGATATAAACTTTATCTTTGGTGTCCATTGTGTGTCTTGATATATGTTTTTTTTGAGTCGAGGACTACCTTTGTCTGGAAGCTCACAATCTTAAGACCATGGCACTATCAAACCTCCAACCACTGGCGTATGCCGTTGCTTACATTACATTTATGCTCGGTACTATCTCAATCTTTCTTCGCTTTTACTGTAGACGCTACATTCTGCACTTGTGGGGATGGGACGATCATTTCGCAGTGCTGATTCTTGTACGTGTTTTGTACGATCCTTCTGTGAATACAGAGACACAACTAACGGCAAGAATTTCAGGTCTTTAGCATTGGCCAACAAGTCATCCTGCACATGTTTCTCTATTGGGGGTGCGGCTTGTATGACTGCCCTTGCTTTGCTTACAGACTAATTGCTGACTGGAGGCACAGACACATGACAACGTTGACCACAAATCAGCAGCTCCAAATTCTCAAAGTAAGAGCTTTCATATCATATTAGCGGTGAAATTCTCTAACTCAAAATAGTGGTTGTTTATTGAACAAGTCGTTTACTACTCAGTACACTGGGTAATCAAATCGGCTTTTCTCCTATTCTACCTGCGCCTGTCAACCAGAAGGCCCTTTCGTATCGCCATTTATATTGGTGGCGTCATCAACGGCACTATCCTGATCATAAACACGTAAGTCTACCTTTTGCTGATACAGAACTCAAGCCTCGCTAACACAAACGCCAGGCTCATGGCATGCTTCCAATGTGTCCCGTTCGATGAGATTCTTCACCCAGGCACGCATCCAAATGCCATCTGTATCAACAGGCTTGCCATGCTTATCGTTCCGTCCGTTCTTGTAAGCCCTTCTTCCTTTTGCACATGCAGACAACAAGGTACCAACAAAAGCGATACAGAACATCTTTGCAGACTTCTACATCCTCATTCTCCCCATCTACACAGTCTGGCACCTGCAAATGACGATGGGCCGCAAGCTCAGAGTGATTGGTGTCGTAGCCTTTGGCAGCAGTTCAGTCATCATTGCTTGTTTTCGGCTCATACCTCTGTTTGAGCTGTTCCGCTCGCCTGATACATCGTGGGTGCTCGGGAAGATGGTTATCGTTGCCGCACTCGAGATTCAATGCGCCGTCATCGCAGTCAACCTGCCAAGCCTCAAGCCCTTGTGGACCCGGATGATGGGCGGCAGTTCGTCTGGTTCGGGCCCTGGAAACGACAGCGACGGTTCCAACAAGAAAAGGTATAGAATCTCGTCGCGGGGCCATATTGCCACGTTTGGCTCTGAGGGTAGAGAGCTGCGTGCAGGCAAGTGGGCGAGGAAGAGCCATAGAGGAAGCGTCTCGCGGACGGACCAGGGACTCACTGTTACTGAGTCTGAAGAGGAGTTGTGCCGACAAGGTGGGATTTCACTGCGTATGTCGAATCAGATGTCAGCGGGAGACGCTGGTACTATCAAAATCCAAAAGGATATTCATATCCAGAGCTCTGAAGGGGACTTGGACAAGGTCATCACTGAGAACTACATCTCGAGGGTTTGAGAGCCGACGGCTTGTTTGAGGAAGTTTAACGAGATCATGTATGTGCGTTTCCTTTGTACTCTGAATTTAGTATCGCGAAGAGATGGACGAAGAGATGCTTTGATAGCTTCTGCTTTACTCGTAGTACAATTTCGTCCTCATCATCTTCCGCAACACGACATGCTACAGCATCTCGATCCGCATCGACAAACACACAGTATTCCCTGCTGAACTAAAACACCTCATCAATCGCCATCAAGTATCCGCATCGCCCGATCACTCTGTACCACCGCACGCATCATCTATATATATCCTGCCCCTCAACCCCCCGTTTGCCCTCGCCCAAACCAATATCCGTCACACATGACCTGTATCACCCTCGATATGTTCCGTTTGATATTTATATCCTTGCTTTCTCCCGCCGTCTCGCAATCTACTTCGGCGTTCTTTCGATATATCACCGTAGCATTGGCGCGATCGGGGTGAAGGAAAAAAATCACCTTGCCCAGTGGGTTTCGTGACGGAAATCGGGGAACAGGGGATGTTTCTCCCTTGTTGGATTATTTGTGTGTGACTTTGTTTTGCCCTTACGTTGCGAGTTCGGGCGGCCAGTTGCAAACACGGGTAGGCGTTGCTTTTTGCGGGAGGGGATGGGCGACTGGAGTTGTGTGGCGGCGGCGGTGTCGTTTGTGAACTAGGGATTCTCTAGTATGAAGACAAGTAGTATAGTACGAGTTGTCGATTTCTATCTTCTTATCTCTGGATTCGGCGATCAAGCACATCTTGTGGAAGTAATCGCGATTCCTCTTTGTCCTCTCTTCTCAAACCACCGAATCCGCACTCTGTCTCTTCAGTTCCGAAACAAACATCCCGCTCAAACACAATCCTCACAAGCCCAGTGCTTACTTACCAAACTCCCCAAGACAAAGTACATACTCGACGACAGCAAAAAGCAGTCAAAGCTCCCTCCCAAAAAGGAGGAGGTCCGCGGCATTACAAACAAACCCATCAATCACCTCTCCCGACACATCGGAAACGCAAACCCTTTGCTTCTTCGTCCTTTCCCCCCACAACGCCATTGCCGTCTCAAGCCCACGAACGCTTGTTCCAAACCGTCGGTCGCAACCACGGGCGATCGCAATAAGCCAAACGGCGACGTGGCTGTCCACGTGCCCAATTCAGGAACAGTTGCAGATGTTGAAAAGAAAAAAAAGAAAATAGTACCAAGTTGTCTTCGAAGAAGAAGAAGAAGAAGCGAAGAGAGAGGAGGGAGGGTTTAATATCTACCCTACCCAGCATCTCGTTCAAAAAGTTTTTCTCCTGTTCTCACTGCGGGCCAGCCGACCTCTTCCACTCGTTTTTTATTTTTTATTTTTTGCAAACTTGTTCCTTTCGCATTAGAGATGCGCTTTGTTGGCTGGGTTTGGCATCGACTCGTGGATTCTGCCGCTGCCGCCTTGCGATGATGATTATGGACACGAGTACGAGTATCCAGCCGCTTGCGTATGGGATTGCGTATTCGACATTCTTTGTGGGCACTTTGTCGATTTTGCTACGGTTTTATTGCCGGTATATTGTGCTGAGGACATGGGGGTGGGACGATTATATTGCGGTTGCTATTTTGGTATGTTTCTTTGGGAGGAGTTGGGTGGAACGGAGGGCTAATGTGAAGGATGGTGATTAGGCCTTTAGCTTTGCACAGCAGGGCGTGCTGCAGATGTTTTTGTATTGGGGGTGTGGACTGTAAGATACCTTTGATGGCTGGGAATCATAGTGATAAGTTGTGCTAACTTAAAGGTAGTCATATGGGAGCCCTGGACACGAACCATCATCTCGAGATTGTCAAGGTAAGAGTGAATGACTGCGAGGTAACTTTGAGAAATATCTTCTGACCAAGAAAACCAGTGGTTATTTATCGAAGAAGTCCTCTACTACTCTGTTCACTGGGTGATCAAATTAGCTTTTCTCGTATTTTACCTTCGCCTATCTCCCGATAGCGACACATTTAGACACGCAGTCTATTTTGGAGTGGGATTTAACACTGTTGTATGGATTGCCAGTGTGTAAGTCATGCCAGCCCTCCAAGCACCCGCAAAGTCTAACGTCAAAGGTCAGCCTTGTAGCATGTTTCCAATGCATGCCATTTGACGAAATATTTCACCCAGGCACGCATTCTGATGCACAATGCATCAACAAGATGATCCTTCTCCTTGGCCCTTGCATTCTCGTAAGTCAGCTTCTTCTTTCCATCTCCCTATCCCCCAACTAACCCGCTCTCCCAGAACATCCTCGTAGACATCTACATCCTAATCCTCCCCATCTCCACCATCTGGGCCTTGAAAAACATCCGCATGCGCCGCAAAATCGCCGTCCTCTGCGTCATCGGTTTCGGCGGCATCTCCGTCCTCATCGCTTGCTGCCGCATCGTCATCCTCCTACGCCTCTCCTCCCCCTCCCCATCCCTCGATACCTCCTACATCCTCGGCACCATGATTGTCGTCAGCGCCCTAGAGATCCAATCCGCAATCATCGCCGTCAACCTCCCCAGCCTGAAAGCCCTCTGGACAAAATACACAGGCGCCCCAGCCGCAGTACCGACAAGTCGCCAGAATCTCCACAATAACAAAGCATACAAAATGTCGAGTTTCAGCGGCGCCGATTCGGACTCGTCCCCTACATCCCCAAACCGACCCCGTAATAACAAAAAACGCACGTCAGACACGTCATCCTTCTGGGATGCAGACAACCCGCTCACGACCCTCGCATCGGAAGAAGAATCCGTCCTCGGCGACATGATGGCCGTCGTGATGCCCATCCAGTGGGTCCGCAGCGACATCCGCGCCATACGTGTGGGCAGGGGCTACATCGTGCGCAGCATGATGAGTATGGAGCGGGTCGAGGATTGCTTCCCCGTCGGTCATTTTTTAAGGAATTACGGGCCGAGGAGGGATGCAGAGAGCGTAGTTGCGTCGTTGGTTTGACAGACGTTGTATATGAAGATATGAATTGAATATGACATGAATCAAATTGATACTTACGTGGTGTGGTTTGGTGATTAGTGAGTTTGAGATGGTTGGCATATGACAAAATTTTGGATAATGTCCTTTCACATACGACCATCGGCAAAGTAAATCACTGGCTCTCGTTCGCTCGCCGCACGTTAAGCCTTTGACCGGCGGACTAGTAATCAGGTGGGTGACCACTGGCGAATCCCCACTGTTGTATGTTTTTGTTTCCATTTGTTCCTTTTTTTTGTGCATGACCACGGCGAGTAGATAGGTGGGTAGTGTAGGAGATGTTGGTAGGTGCACCCTCGGTGGAACAATGGAAGTGCCAAACGGTTAATGACCATAGATGAAATCTTCTAAGCCACACATTCATTCCTTCGTTGTGTCATGCTCTATTGATATGAAGCTACTTTCCTTCTAGACATCATGCACCTCTTCTTTTCTTACAAATCTCAGAGGTTGCCTTTCTGTGACCACAAAAATCAGCCTATCGAACCCCGCCAAAATGAATGTCCAAATCCATGGTCCGTTAACTCCAAAACATGAAGAATCACCCCTTTGAATCGTAATTTGCCCATACAGAGGAGCAGACCAGGCACTGTCGGATGCACTGACCGCCGCCTGACTTCCCGATCTCCCAGTGATATGACTAACTAACCTGGTCTTCTCGGCTGCAATGGTCTACCTAACCACTGCTGGCCTTGAGACCATTTACGCCGTTTGTGACACCATCAGCCTCGGTGCCGTTCTGGTACTCGCGTATAATCTCCTCTAGCATACCCGCACTAGCCGCAACGAAGCCCAGGTAGGGCCTGCTTGGATCCAGGACACGGGAAAGGTACTCTGGGTGAAACTGGACACCGACGAACCATGGGTGGTCCTTGATCTCAATGACCTCCATACGGACGCCAGCTTCATCCTTGCCAACAAAGCTCAGTCCGCCCTTCTCAAGGGTGTCGATGTAATCCGGGTTGACTTCATAGCGGTGACGGTGTCGTTCCAGAATCTCGCTCTTACCAGCATATAGAGCGCGGAGACGAGACCACTCACTGCCAGGCTGGAACAATGTTGGGCGAAGACCCAGTCGCATAGATGCACCCATGGTGGTCTTGTCAACCTCTGGCATGAACATGATGAGCTTGTTTTGAGCCTCGCCGTTGAACTCCTCCGAGGTAGCGTCCTTGATGCCACAGACATTGCGGGCATACTCAATGACAGCGATCTGCATACCAAGGCAGACGCCGAGGTAGGGCTTCTTGTTCTCGCGCGCCCAAGTGGCTGCTGCAATCATACCCTCGGTGGCACGCTGACCAAAGCCTCCAGGGACAAGAATACCCGAGGCTTTGACAACCTCGTGCCATGCGTTGTGAAACTTGGCGGGGTCTGATTGTTGACATTTTGGCTCCAAGTGATCCGAGTCAACCCACCGAATATCGAGCTTCTTCCTGCACCGCATCGTGGCGTGTTCCAACGCCTTGATAACGGAAAGATATGAGTCTTGCAGCTCGACGTACTTTCCAACCAGAGCAATGGTTACAGGGTCGTGATAGCGCGTGTCATGACTGGTAAGGGACTGCCATTGCGCCCAGGTGTGGTTGCCCTTTTGCAACATCTGAGGAGATATGTTGGCCGGTTCAAGAGCAAGGAACTGGCGAACCATGGGAATAAGTTTTTGCTGCTCGAGGAGCATGGGAACTTGGTAGATGGATGGCATGTCCCTGACAACAAGGACCTGCTCGTTTTCAACCTGGCAGAAATGGGCAATTTTTTCCACAGCAGAGGCATCGAGTTCGCGTTCGCAACGGCAGGCAATCTGTATTTGTTAGGCATGCATGCATAGATGATGTGCTTTTGAAGACCCAAATACATACCAAATCTGGAATCAGACCATTGCTCCTCACCGCCTTGATTGCCTGCTGCGTGGGCTTCGTTTTCTGCTCTCCGTGAATAACAGGCACGTACGAGACGTGGATCTGCATGAAGTTGTTCTTGCCCGCGCGTCTCCTCAGCTGACTCATAGCCTCGACAAAGGGCATGCTCTCGATATCACCAACAGTACCACCCAGTTCAATTATGCAAACGTCAGGCTCCTCACCAGAGTCATCGACGGGAATACGCGCGACCCTCTGGATCCATTCTTGAATGGCGTCCGTGATGTGGGGGACGACTTGTACGGTTTTACCCAGATAGTCACCCTTGCGCTCGCGCTCAATGACGTGCTGGTAAATCTTGCCAGTGGTGATATTGTTATCGCGTGTTAGGGTAATGTTCAGGTAGCGTTCGTAATTGCCGAGATCGAGATCGACTTCACCGCCGTCGGAGAGGACGAAGACTTCACCATGCCTGTTTTTTGTTTAGTCATTTGGTATAGAATCGGTCACAGTGAGTCGTACTCCTTGGGGTTCATAGTCCCCGCATCGACATTGAGATATGGGTCGACCTTGATTGACGAGACGTGCTGAGACGTCAGTACGCTTTGCAAACGTGCTGGCCTGCTATACTTATCTTAAGACCAATAGTTTTGAGCAATAGGCCAGTTGACGATGCTGTTATACGTCATTAGCTTACGTTTACTGTCGTGTGCCTAATTACGCAAGTGCTGTAAAGAGCCGTTGCATAACATTTCAAAAGCCTGTGTCTTAGAACAGACTGGACCGCTCCCTCAAGAGTCATCATATAGGCTCTGAGAATTCGGTGCCATGCTCGTGGCACATTTCTGAGCAGAGCTTACCTATGATACCCTATTTTTACACATTAGTGGTGATCAAAGGCGCGGCAACCTGCAGCTTACCTTCCCCACGCCGCTGATGACGCCGCCAGACACGAGCACGTATTTCATGATTGCTGCTTTTCAGTGCCTTGATTGCTTGTGGGGAAGGGGAGGGAAGAAAGGAAAGTCGAGATTGCAGGCGCGTGAAACTTGAAAAGAAAATCGGGCGCATGGGCCCTTTGTTGGTGGAGCTGACGCTTACTGCGGTACAGGGCTAAAGTTTTGTGCAGTGGAGACGCTAAACTATGTCGATCCGACGTAATTCTGGGTAATATAGTTGCCTTTATTTAAAAACGTATATCGAGTAGCTTGTTCTAAGATCGACAAAGGACACAATTGGTGGGAGACTGCAATCAAGCCCAAAGCAGCCATACTAATACGCACTAGTGGTGTAATCTATCTTGAATAAGCTCGGTCCTGATTTCTGCCTGGAATCATACAGCACCCTGCCGGTGCTTATGGACAAAACTTTAGCCACCTACCACAGTATAGCGTGGCTCCCCCTCCTTCCTTTCTTTGTGCGCGCCCTAACTACAACACCTCACCTTCTGTTGGCTTGGACGATGGAATTTAGGCGTCTTGGAAATAAAACTTCTATCGACTGACTGCGAATAAGGTGCTATGGAATGGTATCGTGCTCTCTCATCGCTGAAATTCCCAAATGCAAGTACAGGAGAAAAAAAAAAGGTTTGCCGTATCGACGCCGTCCAGGTTTCACCCTCCGCCCTTCCTATCCTGCACAAGCCACCAACCGTTGAATTCAAAATCAACCCTGTCGGTGAGAAATGCAGTCATTTCGTGACGTCGTCAAAATGCAAAACAGCATCTGCGAAAAATGCTTCAGATATCCCCTGATGACCCTGTCTGCGCCGCCCGATATAAAGGAAGATTATGCGAAAAGCCAGCTATGTAAAGAGACAGCATGGGTCATGGTCGTTACTCCCTGCGCCGCCTCTTGAGCTCCTCTTCTTCTGCGTTGTCGTGTTCTTGACTCGCAGTAAGTCGCTTACGGGCAAGCGCCTTCTCGTTTCCCTTTTTGACTTGAATGTTGCAGCCTTGTAGCTTTAATGCCCTGGTCAGAGCGCTGCTCGGCCGCATACCGGGAAAATCTTTGGCTGTGTAGACGGTAAAGACGTCACTCAGGACTTCGGTCAGGATTGGCGAGAAGCCTCCCACGTGCAGGTTCATGGGATCAATGCGCATAAGCACAAACCGAAGTCGGTATTTGCCATGGGTGCGGCATGAAAGATCTGGGAAGCAAAAGAAACAGCCCTCGACATCGTGCTCGTCTTTTGCCACAGATGGCGAGGCTACAAGCTGGCCCATTAATCGCCGTGTCGTTCGTCGGTCTGGTTGTACGAGTGCTGTTTCTTCGTTGGTGCCTTCTGCATTCCAGAGCGTGCAGTGGACCACATTGAGAGAATAACGTAGTTCTTCTTGTTCAGCAGCACCAGTTTTCGGATCCGTCACTAAGAGTTGGATGATGGGTGGAGGGTCAATGACTCTTCGGTCACGTTCGCCAAATCCGCACGCTCGTGCGGCAATGGGCTGTTGCCGGACGCGGAGTTCATAGTTGAGGTTTCTGCGATTGGTAAGTCGAGCGTCACTTTGGTGTCCGGGTAAGAGAAGTACTTACAATTGTTCGTTGTACACGGGTTGTGGTATGGACCCTGGTAATGGGACAGGGCGCACTTGTTTTGGGGGTGGTGGAGCAGCGGTCGAAGGCTCTGAGTATGCAATCGGCGCCAAAGGTCCACCAATGGAGCCTCGTTGAGATCGCGCATGTTGCAGAGAGCCAACAGATCCGCGGTATGGAGTGCTACTTGATGCATAGCTCGGAGTATATGCAGGTGAGGGAAGCGGAGGATAAGACCTTTGGTGCGGTGGTTCTACTGGTGAAGTAAGAGACGAATACCCTCCTTGCTCGGGATGCGGTGGATGGCGCTGAAAAGGGCGGTGCTCCTCGTACGAATAGCGCTGTTCAGCTAGTCTTCGAGGGCCTCTGCTGTCATATTCTGAATGTGGCGAGATTGGAGGGCCGTATTGCCGAGGAGAATATGGCGGATCGGACCTAGGCGGGGTATATGGGTTGGAGGGCTGCAACAGCTTGTCAACAGGCGCGGCTGCTGGTCTGTGTGTCGCGGGGGGCTGTGGATGGTAGTCATTGCGAGGAGGCAGTCCAGAGTGGATGGAAGGTAGCTGGTTGATGGGGGAGCGGAAGTGGTGATCCGGCCGTTGTGGTACAGCATCTGGCGGAATCTCTAGCGGGGGCAGGCGGCGATGGGAGTAGTCGAGAAAGCCTGGAGGGGAGAAGACGGGAGGCTTCTGCGTCTCAGTCATGGCTGTCGGAGGTTGAGAAGCGGGTGGTAGAGGGAGGGCCGGGGGTGGAGGAAGAGGAGGTGGTTGGGACATGCGTGTATTATTATTTGCCCGAACCAGGACACGATGCACACAGCCGCATTTGGATCACGTTTGTGTTCAGTTTGGAGGCTCTTTTCAGACTGGGAGCGTCCGGGCGTGGTGCAGAGTTGGACAGGACGTCAGGAATGCAGCACTGCCTCTAGTGTGGCGGCATGAGTGGTTTATAGTTGAAGAGCCCCTTGTAGGCGACCCTGTACGTATCTGGATCGCCAGCAGCCAGATCGCCGCCGGGCTGCTTGAATTCAGTAATGGCGACGTTAAGGTGGAGAGGCGCTCAGACACATTAAAACAACGGCCGCCCGGGAAGAGGACAGGATGCAGACCGGGGCGGACCCGCATGCACCCTGTTCACTGGCAAGCCTCACGCCAACCGTCAAGCGTAGCCGGCTCGGAGCATAAATTTCGACCAGGACAGCGATAAGTGCAGCAGACGACGCTGCGTGATGTGTGGATCCGAGCTTGGCGGACGGCTAGTTCGTGGACCCCCAGATTCTGACGTGTGGGCGGCGGCGAGGCCATCCATGTGAAGCACTGCGAGCGTCGGGCGGCGGAGTAAGTACTTGTTCGTAGAGTAAGTACCTAGTTGTGCAGGCAGTGGTGTGATGTCGTTGATTCATTCACTTGATGGACTGTTTCATTCAGCCATCCATTCATCCAGTAGTGGCATCATGTCTGCTCGATGATTCATTTATTCGCCCATCCATCTATCCACCCCCGCCAGCTACCCAGCTACCCAGCTACCCACCCATCCGCCCATCCACCCACCCGTTGCTTCAATTATTTGCATCGTGTCTGGGATAATGCCAGGCTAGCTGACGCATGTGGTCTCTGGGGGGGGGGGGGGTGGGCATCCACACACGCTCCCTCTATCTGGACCACATGCAGCACTGAGTTTTGGGAAGCATACCCGGGCGCCAGACAGAAGCTCTCTTTTTTTGGTCTCTGCGCGCCTCTTGCTGTTTGTCTCTCTCGTTCTCGCGGCCAGCTGGCAGGTGTTTTCGTGGGGCGTCGCCAGAAAGAGGTCGAGGCCGGGGCCATCAAGAGACAAACAATGGCGAGCGGGTTTCGCAGGCCAGGCTGATTTCGAATCACAGCGGGCCAGGGTGTCGCACGCTGTAACGCCGCGGGCAGCCAATATGGAGCAACATGCCAAATATCACATAGCTCCAAGGACTGGGAGGAGGGGGGATGCGGCAAGAGGGAGCGGAGGTAGCATTGCGAAGCGGGTGTGTGCCTAGACCACCTGCAACGCTGTTGCAAGGGTGTGTGGACGGCTCGAATCGAACAGCTTAGTGCTCTCGGCTTGAGGCCGTGAAGAGCTTCATCTGCCAGAGGGCACGGGGGGGTAGATCCAATGGCACGCCGGCGGGTTGCGGCTAAAAGCGATCTGCCCTGCGACGTCTGTCCTGAAGGTCTCCCCGCTGCTGGGTGGAGACTTTTGTGCTGGGCCTGCTGCCACGGACGCTGCGTGAATGATGAGCCATAGTGGCGACCAGGGTCAGCAACGGGTCTGCCCAATTCCGGGATTTTGGGAGAGTGCGCGATGCAGAGGCGCAACTTTGTGCTCGACAGACCGAGACATACATGAGCCCGTCTCACGCGAATCACGCCGCCGCCCGCTTGGAGAGGGGGAGGTGGAGGGATTGCGAGTGCGCCATGGGTATGTGTGAGTGGGCTTGCGGCAGTTGTGCCCTCTGGCCGTTAATTGTCACCGGCACTGTCACCGTCACCGTCACCGTCACTGTCGCTGTCGCCGTCGCCGTCACCTGTCCAACGACATCTGCGTCAATAGTGGGTGACGAGTATACGCCTACCTACATGCACCGGATTCTGGGGGCCTGCCACGGGCCCTGTCCCTCATGTTGCACTGCAACCCTGGCAAATGCCGCCTTTTGCAGACGCCCGAGCGCAAGCTCCTCCCTACAGTCGTATCGTGGAGCCGGCAGAGCCCCTAATAGTCGACGCGTAGGTATTGCTGGTGCTGGCACGCACTGGCGAGCACCCGTCCAGCGTACCTGCGCTCACCCTGGCCTAGCCAAGTCCGCGCTGTGCGACCTTGGGCGGGCGCATTGCTGCTTTCATGGGCTGCTCCTGGGCCTGTCTGTCGGGCCTCGCTTCGCGCCCTCCATTTATTTAGTTAACACATGGGTGGTTGGCTGCGTGATTGATTGCTGGATTACTCGATTGGATGGATGGGTTTTAATTGAGCGAGTGACTGACTGAGGGAGTGACTGGACTGGACTGGTTGGCTGCCAGGCTGAGAGAAAGAGTACAGAGACTGAGAGTGAGAGAGGCAGATCTGCCGTGTTAGGCCCTTTACGCGAGCTCCTTCCCTCTGCTGCCATCCCACTCCACCCACACACTCACACTCACCTACTCACTCGCCCATTCGCAAATCCTTTTCTGCTCTACTCCCACTCTACTACTGTATATATCCACTATTACTATACTGCTATTCCACCACTGGCCACTCACCATCTCCCCTCCACCATCATCCCTATCCCTATCCCTATCCCTATTACATCTCCATCTCCATCCCCCACCACGCACTGCCTCTTTCCCCTTACCCGACCCTCCCCTCGTTAGCCTCATCTCATCTCGCCTCACCTCGCCCGTCTGCCCACTTCTCCATCTCGCCATCTCCCTTTCCCTTCTCTCCCATCCCATCCCATCCCTCCACCCAAACTCATCGCCGCCCCATCGCATGAATCACGTCGCCACTCGCCCGCAACAGGCCACCCCCAAGAACCTGCGCCCCCGTCGCGATCGACACCCCCGCTAAACAAGCACCCTGGCTCGCAGCTCGACTCTACCGCCATGGCTACCAGGTTTGGCAACTACCACGGTGCGTGCCACCAAACTTTGCCCTGAACGGTTCCTTGTCCCCTCCTGCCTTTACTCGAACCGGCCGGCCGCTCGGCACAGGTTGCCTCGACTAGCCGTTGCTGACTCCGCGCGCAGATTATAGTGGCGTCTCCAAACAACCTGCCTCTGCCACTCATGTCGTCGACCCACGACTGCAAATCCTGGATACGCTGATCCCGGCCATCTTCACCGCCAAGCACTGTTTGGATGTGGGTGCAAACGCAGGCAGCGTCAGTGTTCAACTTGGTATGTGGCTTTCAAGGATACCCCTGCTCGTCTCGTCGAACCGACTATGAACAGCCATGTGCTTGATATTGATCAAACTTGCAGCCTTTGACTTTGACGCCGCCTCCGTGACCGGCGTCGATATAGATCCCAGCCTAGTTGGCCAGGCCGAGAAGCTTTACGCTCTGCGCGCCTCCCGCCGTCGGCCCCCTACCGCTAGTTCGCCGCCCGTTGTCGACTACTTTCCCCTCTCGGCCCTGCTCACCCATGGCTATCGCATAGAGCCCCAAGGCAAGGCTGCACCCAACCCGTCGCCATGGTTGGCTAACATGCCGAGCGTCAACTTCGTCGCCGCGGATTGGGCCCTGCCCACCGGTCAGCATCTCCAAGACGCTTATGATGTGATCCTAGCTTTATCCGTCATCAAATGGATCCATCTCGAGCATGGCGACCAAGGCCTGGTCGCCTTCTTCGCCAAATGCAGCAACTCGCTTGCACCAAGCGGATATCTTGTTATCGAGCTCCAGCCGTGGGATTCGTATCTCAAGGCCGTTCGCCCCAATCACGCTCCACACTTCCAGCAATCCTTGAACAACCTAAAGTACCGTCCAGAAGAGTCGTTTGACAAACTTCTCCACGATCAAGGCTTACACCTCTGCGCTTCATCAGACGCCCTTCCTCGGCGCATCAATGTCTATCAAAAAGCGTGATGATATTATCCACTGGTAGATTTGAAATATCCGCCCTGTGAATGTGGCCCTATAACGCTACCGAACGTTTTGGTGTTGCCCAAAACGACCATTACTATTAGAATTATTATCGGTAGGGATGCCAAAGCCCGCTGCACGTCGTTTCACACTGTCCGGGCAATTAAACTCTAGTAGTCGTAGTTTGCCATGATTCTTTTTTCCAGAAGACGAGCTGACTGGACTACTCGACCTCTCTGGACGCTGTGGCGCACGCATTTCCACAAATGGTTATTTCCGTTTTACGAATCATGGGATTTTCGTGTGTGGGTTGAGGATCTCGACTGGCTCGTATCCAAGATCCTCATTGACAAAACTCCGCCCCACAGTTCACGATTTGTGTCCCGGTCTATCCCCTGTCTGCCGATCTTTCTCCTCACTAATCCGGGTTCTTCAAACTCAACCATCGTACGATCATCAGCACAATGTGAGTAAAGATCAACCCACGAGTAGAAATGCACCATATTTCTTGCCATGTTGCTGGCGCCATTACAGGTTTTGTATCATCGTAGTCGGGTGTTGAGCGTGACTGCGACTATTGAAGGTGTGATGTTTGATTGGCCACGCCGTGGATGAGGAAATAGCTACTACACATTATGTCGCGATTTGGCGCTAGCAGTTGTCACAAGGTCACGATGCAAGAGCTAGCGATAGCCGCCTCTCGGAGGTTTTGACATGTGCCAAATAGTATGTATATCCCTACTGATCGAACCACTTGTGGTGCACTAGGCAAAGATTCAAACCTTGCGCCATTTCGGCCAAGTTCGAATCCGAGCGTAGTTTTGATGCTACCCAATGTACTTAGTCTCCTCACCAACACCCAGGTTGTCGTCTGCAATGTCAAATAAATTATAGTTTTGTGACGTGGTCGGAAATAAGCCGGCACGGTATTAGTCTGTCGAGCATTTGGGCGAGGGAGCAGCCGGTAATTACCGTGTCATGACAGTCAAATGCACATGTAGGTTGCAGATTGTTCATAAGAGGCAGCACGTGGTTTGCAGGAAAAAGGACCTGTGTGAACCATCAAGTATCGGTTATATGTATGGGTGGATTGTCAACAAGAGCAGCATTTGAAAGTGGAGTGATGTTTAGGCGATTGGTGAATCAATGTGAATCTGTGTGTAGTCATGGATAGCAAGTAAAGTATTTGTCAAGAGTGCAGTATCAAACATGTGCCTGTGCCAGTTACGTGGCCTCATTTTATTCCACATCAAGACAGGGCCGAGAAGATATCGCCTACACATTGGGACCTGCAGCTTTGATCTCTTTGGATGGGAGATGGGCACTGCGGTGGATATCTTGGTGTAGCCGAGATGAATGATTGCCCGCCCGAGGCCATGCAAGATACAGTAGCGACGTACATAGTACATACATAGACATATGTTGTTTCATTTACCAAGTTGGCATTCTATTGATGGCAATACATGTCTTGGTTTCATTGTACAACAGCCGGAACAATATGCAGAAGCTACATAGCACATTGCTTACCACCAGTGCATGCTACCGATAGTTAGAATAGAGGCTTGCCTTGTCAACCCCCGAGTGTGGTACTGAGGATGAACAACGCAACTGGACTGATACCGAGTACACAGGCTGGACATGGTGTTGCCAATCATGATGAATGCCCTCTAGCAGAGAAACGGGGCGCTGAATCAAGCACGAACAACACACCATCGGATAGCTGCATGGTGGAAGACAGCGTGCAGGAGTTTGAGCGACTGGGACACGCCCTGCTGCCCAATACAGCGGGCAGTACAGGAGGGCGTAAGGTGGCTTTTGATTGACAACAAATGCACTGCACTGCACTGCACGCATCGCCAGAGTTGCAGGGCGGCCGGCGGTGGCATGCCGGAAGTGTAGCCATGAGCGGCAGCCGTCTTCGGCGCGAGCCTCTCGATTACGTATGTATGCGGGGGAGGGGGAAAAGCCCAATGATACCGAGCGCCTACGGCCTTGCAAGGGCATATGCAAAACATATCTCTTCTGCTGTGAAACCTTGCAACACACCCGTCTGTCCTTGCCACCAAATCTTGCATCGAGCCTCGCCCGAAAACACAACCCTCCCAAATCCCAGCCAGTGTGCTGGAGTCAGCAACGGCTGCCCGCAGCTGAGAAGAACGAAAAGAAGAAGAAGAAGAGGAAGAAAAGCAAAATAGCCATGACGCCGTCTAGCCGCGTTTGCCCCCCTCCGAGCAACGTCCCTCGGGCGCGAGAGATGAAGGAGAAAATTTTCGACGCCTTCTTGTCGGCGCAGCAGCGGGGCTGAGAAATATCGCCTCTCCCAGGCCGCCTCACCTCTGCGCTCCAGCTGGCGCCCATGCCATGTTCCTTGAGCAATTGCTCGTCTCGCCCCTCTCCTACCAGGCTCGTTCGCTGGGACCGACGCAACAATGACTCCTGGGACTGGCTGACGCCCACGTCGCGTAGTGCAATGGCAATGACGCGTAGCTGCTGGTCCATCTGCGGTGGCAAGCCGTCTCAGCTTGGATGACCATCAGCTACCTGCCGACTGGGCCAAGCCAAGCACTACCAGACAGAGAGTATCTACACTACTATATAAACTCTGGACCGCTCTTCTCTGCGTGCCCACGTAGCAGGTTCCAGCTTTCCAAAAAGAACACGCCAGACAAGCCCGTCCAGCCAAAGGTGAGCAAAGCGCATTGAACAGCCGAATGCGTCGTTGGCACGCGTGGGATGCACGCAGCCACAGGTGCTGAGGCGCAAACGAACGGGCGCCGTATAAGGGGCGCGCTTATGACATGGAACGGTTTCGTGCTGACCGTGCGATAGGCTTCCTCGACGGCTTTCCGCGCGGGCGCCTCTCACGATCCCTCTTGCAGATCTCTGGTCCATTTGACATGCTTGCCCAAGCCAAACATAAGCCGGACCCTTGCTTTTGCCAAAGCGAATGACCTTCCGAGCTTGGTCACACAGAGCTAGACAACACTCAACCACTATTACTCGGCAACCCACCGGAACTGCCCACGTCTACTACCGATCCATAGCCCTTGATAGCCATATATACGCCATCTCATCCCAGGCCCGCCAGACGGCCAAACCCGCAAACCACCGAGAACGATGCCGCCTGCGAGCTCCTCCTTCACGCCTCTCAATGTCTCGGACGACATTGTGCCAGAATGGCTGGGGTCCTTCACCCTGGCAGCGCCCCCAAATACCGACCTTTGGAGAAAGCCTCCATCCGGTGATGTTTCCACGGCCCCGATACTTTACACAGCGCTGCGCAATCCTTTCATAGCCGCTGAAGTCACCGTGTCTGCTGATTGGGAGTTGGAATGGGATCAAGGGGGGTTGGTGATATTCGCGGGCACACCGCCAGGACAAATGGCGGCGAGACAAGCACAACAAGCAGCAGCAGCAACAACGGCGGCGGCGGCGGCGACAGCAACAACATCACCATCATCATCATCATCACCACCACCACAGCCAACAACAACGACATCTACCCTCGAGGTCCCCAATATTGCAGATATTTTGCTAGAAGACGACGACGCGACACAAAGACCCGCGACGTCATCACTGCCTCAGACGTCGATAGCCAGCAACCCTGGAAACGTGGAACCACCATCCCCTAACCCGCCTGGTACCGGACCCCAGCCAGCCATAGTCGACAGCCGCGGACCCCCACCCGCCTACCCAACAGTGCATCAACCACCCGCCTCAAAATGGGTCAAAGTCGGCCTTGAATTCTGCAACAACGCCTGTCACGCCACCTCTGTAGTCGCAAACTCGGACGGCGCCGACTGGTCGCTCTCTGCGCTCCCAGCGCACCAGCAGCGGCGCTACGACTTGCGGGTTAAGATTGAGCGGATTGGCTATGCGCTTTGGGTTTGGTACGAGGACGATTTGGTCGGCTGGAAGAAGTTGAGGGAGGTGACGTGGTTTTTCTGGGGCGTAGAGGATAAGGCGGTCAGGGTGGGCGTGTATGCGAGTCGCCCGGCAAACTTTGGGCTCAGCATGTTTGATGCTAGGCGAACGGCGGCGGGTGGCGAGGCTGGGGGGGATGCGAGGTTTCAGGCGAGGAATTTGTGTGTGGATTTTGAGGGATTGGAGATTTTTTAAAGAGGCAGATGAGGGTTTGGTTTCATGGGATTTTTCTTTTCTTTTCTTTTCTTTTCTTTTCTGTTCTTCCTATTCTTATGCTTCTATTCCACACTTTTTTTTCTATTCGGATTATTATGTATGTTTCTCGGAGGCGAAGGTAAAGTCTGGACAGGAGTCTTCAAAGTTGCAGGATGGGTCAGAGTTTTCTTTTTGTTTCTGTTCATCTTCTTCTCTCTCTCTCTCTCTTTCTCTTTTTTTTCTGTACAAATTCAATGGGACTACGATGATACCATGCTATTTACATACTATAACTATATATTTATTATAAGTACAATAAGAGGTAGATTTGTCCACTTTTGTCTCTGTCTCTGTCTCTGTCTGTTTGAGTGTTTTGTTTCTGAACAAGAAAAAACATACTCTGGTACACCTGCGTTAAAAAAATTTCTTGTACGTATACCGTCATAAGAACAGATTCAATATATTTGTTGCCCTACTATGCTAGAATGAGAAGCAAGCCCGATGTCGAGAGTTTATCTTTTGTGAAATTTATCTCCTAGATGATCAATCAATCAATCAATCAATCAATCAATCAAGAGAGAGAGAAAGAAAGAGTCTGTTTCAAGATTGTCTTGTCTTGTCCAACTACGCTCGTTTGTACCCTCCCAATACCGTTGAATCACCCCCACCTGTTACATACAAGGATACAGAGACACAGATCTTCATACTCTCACTATCTATCCAAACAGATTTATCATGACACAGCTTACCCTTCTCCCCCCCCCCCCCCCCCCCCCCCCCCGACTGGATTGAAAAAGTAGAGACGCCGATGAAGGAAGAAAGTGACTCTATATTCAACTTATGATGAGATATCGTGGACTTGTGGCGAGCAGGGAGAGGCGAGAGATGCATAACTACAGAGGTTTGGGGGGGGGTGGTTACACATGTTAGATTAATCTGTCAGGTGCGGGTGGATGGTATTGTTTTGTTTCAAGGGGCGAGAGTTTCCGTGTCAAGTATAGTGATGACTTTTATGTCGGATAACTAAATCTTATTCACACCGTGTGCACAAAAGTGCATTAAAACCCACGCGTTGAAGCATACACAAGTGTCCTTGAATGTCATACAAATTACAATTACTATCATATCTAAAAAAAATAAAAATAAAAAAAATCTTAACTACTATCAAACACCAGCCAGCTGTCCAGACACCCCAGGGCGCCTGTATAGAGCCATAACAGCGAGTGGTCCATCGAACCAAAAAGAATGTATATACATGACGAAAAATAGGTTTCCATACAACATTTGCTCGTTCGTGTTTTTTTTTGTCGTCTTTTCATCAACTCTTCGCTTCGGCAATGATGTAAGGACCGATAACACAGATAGCAGTCCAAATCACCATTGTGCTCTCGACAAACAGAGTCCAGGGGATCATGTAGAAAGGAACCTCAAGGATTCGTACATAAATGGCGTATACGGCGACGTAGAAGAAGTGGTAGACCAGCATCCAAGGATTGGTGATCAGACCGGCCAACATGCCACTTGGCTCAGCGACGCTAGCACCGCCGCGTAGAAAGTACTTGAAGCAACCCTTCTTGATGAGTTCGAGGTAGATATTGTCTGCGGCGAAGAGCGAGTACAGGGCCATTGCGAGGATGTTGATGACGCTGGTGCCATTCTTGCGTTGCCAGTGGAATTTTCCGAGGGCGGCGAGAACAGCCTCAGAGTCTTCGAGCAAGGGGATATTGGCGGGGGAGAGGAGAGACGAAAGAAGGACTACATCGTTGAAGGCGACTGTCATACCGCCGCCGGTAAGGGGATGGCGCATGTTCATTGCGTCGCCGAGGATGATTAGGCCGGCCTGCTTCTGTGTAGAAGGAGGCAAGAAGGAGTTTGGCATGCTACGGAGCTTGCCTTGCTCGACTGCTTTGCGGAATGCAGGCTGGACGCATTCGGGAAGGCGGGGCAGTGCTACGTTGAGCATGTGGTTCTTGATGCCGCCGTTCTTGGGCGACGCCGAGGGCAAATTCTCCGGTACATCGATGAGAATACGCGTCTCGTGGGTGCCAATCTGGTAGATGAGGATCGGAGGTGCGTCGGTGAGAATGACATGGCCGTGATTAGGGACAGGAAGTTGAGCATCAATCATCTCTAGACCCCAGAACTTGCTGCGGACCTGGGGCTGGTGAGGAATGTATTCTTTGCGGAACTTTGATGCATAGCCGTCGGCGACCAGCGTCACAGCACCAAAGAAGTAGTCTTGTTGACCGTCGGTTTGACACGACACACCTACGACCTGGTTGGTGTGGTCGCTCTTGACTAGCGAAGTGACTGTCGACTCAACAACGGTGACATTGGGCGTTGCCTTTGCCTTGGCGCGAAGCTTGGAAATGAAGCGGCCGTGGTGAAAAGAGCGGCCCTCGGGTACTTTTGAGGTCGCGCCTTTAACAAGGTTGTGAGGGTAGGGAACGTGGGCATCCTCTTTGTGGTACATGACCTGGTAGCCATAACAGGGAATGGCGTCAATGTCATCGAGGCAATCTATAGTATTCTGTCAGCATCGCACTTCCTCATCGACACAGACAGCGCGTACCCCTCATGCCCAATTTCTCAAGGGCATTCACACCGCCAGGTTGCAGTAGCTCGCCGACAATGCGGTCAGGCTCCTTGAGACTCTTTTCCAGCAATATGACACTCCTGCCCTGCTTGCCGAATGCGACAGCAGCAGCACAGCCCAGAATGCCAGCACCGATAATGACGACATCTGCCTCATGGTGGATGCGCCGCCTTTGTTCGCGATAATCTGTTGTGTCGATGGCTTGGGCCGTGGGCGCAATTTGTGTCGACGAGCCTCTTTTGCGCAGCTGTGGAGAATGTGTGGCGCTGACACCAGGCGGTAGCTCGGTGAGCTTGGTGCCAGAATACATGGTGAGCATGGCTGCGATTATTATGGGCCGGGTCGAGGGCCCAGCTGAAAGGGTTGGTGGTGGTGGTGGTGGGTTGAGGGCGGTGGAGGCTGCGATAACAAAACAAGCAAACAAGCAAGCAAGCAAGAGTGTTGGGCTCGAGGCAGGTGATTTGGACAGCCAAAAGTAAGGCGGCTAGGAGGTAGAATAGGGCCAGAGAATAATTATCAAGAGGCAGACAGGCAGGCAAACACGAGATGCGAGGACACAAAAGCTGTCAGGGTTCGGTAGCTTCTACTCGTCACTCTGCCTTAATTCCCGGGCGTGGCGAACCCACGATCTTAAGCGTCGATGTCGACGACAGGGATCGCCCTCACCGCCTCGTTGTTTCTGCCAGGGGCTGCGGCTCCTGCACCCTCATTGGCCAGCATGGCGTGAACATGGCCTCACCCGCAAAACTGACTTGGCCTCACACCATCATCGTCTTTTTAGCAGTCAGACGGTGAGTGGCTAGCAAGGAGAACAGCCAGCCTTGTTAATCAGTCCTGCACATCCCTCATGCATAGGGATGGATAGTGATGGCAGTATTTTTTGTGTTTCAAGCCTCCTAGAGTGAATCCTGCGAAGCAACTCATCCGATTACTTGTCCCATACTAATACATATTACCAACAAAAACCAACCATGACTTGTACAAGTCACCCTACAATAAGTATATAATACACAATCCGAAGCGAATATCAAACAAAAAGCCCCATGTCGTGTCGTGGTAAATGAAACCCTTTTGCCTAGTCAGTAGACATAACACTCGTCACCGTCTCTTTTTTTTCGCCTGTCCAATCCCCAAATTCCGTTTTTTTCCCAACCGCATGAATGTCCAGAGTTCAACCGTCCCAGTTGAAGAAGAAGAAAAAAAAGAAAAGCATCCTGGGTCTGTTCGAGGCCCATGTTGTCTTGTGGCCACAGCTCCGGCCATGTCTCGCTCGCTGTTGACGCTGGCGTGCATATCCACTCTCACACTCAATACGCAGTCCCGGGTTGCCTAGAAACCATATACGACGCCACGCGCGTGTCGACTTCGATAATGACCGATCGTCTGTCCAGCGTGTGTTGCATCGTCTCAACAGACTGCGCCGGCCCGATGTGCGAGTTGCGGTAGTAGGCCTCGTAGAACTCGCTTAACCGCGAGTCCGTCGCCCCTGACTGCCCAGGCGCAATAAGATTCGACTGTCGAGCTTGTGATTCACCCTCGCTGATAATCGACCCCAGGATCGACGTATGCCCAGACATGGCCGTCGAAGATTCGGATGGTGGCCGTTCCCTCGCCAATCTTTCCGCCTCTTGTCCTTGTATACCACTATGTTCCGATGTGTGGTACACTACGCCAAACGCGCTCAGCCCCGTGTGACTGTGGCTGCTGCTGTACATGCTGCTCGCATCGCTTCCTCCTTCACAGTAGGGAGAGTATGCGCGCGGTTGGAGTCGGGCGGGGACAGCAGACGAATAAGGTGCAGGCTCAGAGTCTTTGGTCAAAAGTTAGGGTGGGCCCAGTATAGTATGTAACTACCAAATTGCTAAAATACAAAAAAATCAACGCACCAGGGAGCTGGCTACCTACTCGGCTCGTGGACCTGCACGCGAGGGTATCCATTCTCAGGCGATGGCGATCGGGATTCTTTCCTCAGTGCATGGCCCGGGAGCGTAGGCAGCTGAGTGGTAGGAGGGCTGTAAGGCGACTGGCCTGAAGCCGAGTCATATGCCATGGTCTCGGAAAGTCGGAAGTTGTCATTGTCGTGCTCGTAAGAACCAAACGTCGTAGATTGGGCGTCGCGAGGAGGAGCACCTGGTGACGGAGGGACTTGAAGCGACATGTCGACCATGTGGTTGTGGCTTCCGTTGAGTTCAGCCTGCGAGGGACGGAGCTTCATGGCTGGAGGTGGAGGGCGGCGAGTGGCATCGTTGGTGGCACTGAGGTTCAGACTGAGCGTGCTGTTGTTGGTCGACTGGCCCTTCATGAGCGGCGAGCTGGCGCTGCCTCCAACCAAAGTGCTGTTGCTCATAGCTCCCGGGTGATTGCTAACAATGGATCCTGCCCTCGATGTAGGGCGGGACTGAGCAACACCAGCATAAAAACCTGCCTCGATGGCGCGAATACCAAACAAATCTCCCTCATCCTTCTCGCGTTGATTCAACTCGACGGTGTCCTCCTTGGGACCGGCTTCAAGCTCGGCCTTGGTCGCCTTCTTTAACCTGTGTCCATCGTAAGCTACTGCAAGGTTAACTAGTTGGCTCGACGTACCTCTGTCGATTGTATAGCACCTTGATGAATCCAGCAATGATGGTGATGAGCAGTAAGCTCATAAATACGATACTGGCACAAATCAGTCTTGTTTAGAAAGCCAGTATGGACGGCAACGTACACATATTTGTACGCCAAGTCAAGATTTCCAAACCAGTTCGTCATTATGGTTAGGGTAGTGGACAGTAGTGTCCAAGACGGGGGTATCGTAGGAAAAGTAGTCTTCTGGGATTGGCGATGGACGGATGACAATCTCCAAAATAGTGTTCCAGTGGCCTGGGTGCTTGAGGAGTGGTGTGGTGACGATCCGAATTAGGATGGGGATATGCCTTCTTTCCTGATTAGTTGCAGGGTTGTTTTGTCTTGCCGTCAAACGAGTGGTGGGCGAAGATGCAGAATATGTGCAGTTGGAATACGCAGTATAGACAATATAGTAGTTGTGAGAAACGAAAGGACGTGTGATGGAAGCACACTGGTAATGATCGGATCGGGGAAGCAAACTCCTGAAAAACCAAAGCTAGGCGAAGGAGCGAGGAGGGAAGGGGGGATAAATGAGGGTAGTAGGTCCAGAAGCGATCGCTGTCTTGCTGGGCGATTTGGCGCCATCCGTCCCTACATCCGGCGTGGGCACACATGCTTTGGGATCTAAAAGCGGAGTAAGGAACTCGGGTGTTAATGCCTGCCCGCAAAAGAGACGACCAGTCGCCAATCACCGACAAGGCGCTGCCAGGAAAAGAAGTTTCACGCATATGCGCTAAGGATATTGGCTGTGAAGTAGCCGTTACCCATGCAATGGCAGCCTTGCCCCGAAGTCAGTGCTCCCAAGGATCCGGCAGCGCTCTTGATCAATGGCAATCTGGGCGCTCGTAAAATCCCACCCATTGGTGGTCCAGCCCGTCCAAGTTCCACCTGCACTGTCCGGGCGACTGCTTGCTTGCTTTGCGTTCCATTCCATTACTTACATAGAGCCCTATGGGACTGGAGCGCCGGGAATGGCGCAACAAACGGCTGCGGGCCCAACAGAAGGATTCCACTGGCGACCAGCCCAACATGGACACCTGGCCCGAGCCTTGGAAGGGGAGGGGGGATGGAGGCAAAGCGATAAAGGCGTGATAATTGGCATGCTGGGCCGTCGTGTGTCGAGTAAAAATGCCGGCAAGCACCAAAATAGCGGACAGTCAGGCCGCCGAGAAGGCCCCACTTATTTGAGTGCTTGGCAGGAGAAGCCGCCCGAAAGTGGCTAAGGTACGGGCGCCAAAGGCCCCTGCGCCATTCTTTTTGCAGCTCCATCACACCAGCATCCATGCCAAAGCCAATGCCCATGTCCATACTCGCCAGCCATCACATGCTTTTCTCAATCCTTTCTCTCTCGCCGCTCTCGCCGCTCTCTCACCCTCTTGCGCTCTCGCCACGCCTCGTTGCACGTCTCCCGAAGTCGCCCCGCCACTGGCTGTAACCTCCCGGCTCGCTCGGCAGCCATGTTGACATTTCCGACTCTGTCTGGCCTGTGACACCTACTGCCACTATTACTACTACTTGGTGTATGTACACCTAGCATACATATACCATGTCCACAGACTGCAAGGTGTGCCTTTAGCCGTTGACCCTTTCCCCATCCCACGCTATGGTTTGTGGGTGCACATGATGCAGAGGGCGCAAAGCCACTACCCTGTTACAAGCCAAAATCGCTAAAGGCGTGTCGCACTACGATGCAACAGGCTCAGGGCCGCCCAAACGAAACACCTATAACTCGCTTCTGACTCTGCGCCCTCAGTCGTGCAGATTGTGCCGCCTTCGACGCCGACGCCGACGGCAGAACGACGACCCACTGCGCAGCCATTCCGGGCGAGGGCCGCAGTTCCCCATGCCGCCGCCAGCGCCTCAACAGCATCGTCATGACAGGTTCCTTTATCGCACGGCCAGCGTGCTAGTAAGTATATGCCAACAGCCGTCATCTGCCACCGCAGTTTCAGCAGTTATGTCCCATGTCCTACTCGTATGGCACCGTGACGGCGGTGACAGGGGCTACGAATACTTGTTTACATAACTACTCTCGTACCAACAAGCTCGTTCCCTTGGCCAAGCTCGGCTACTGGCGTCTATGCCGTCGTGTTCTCCTATACTTATTGACCTCGTACTTGTTCGCGCCAGCAACAGCGGTGGCCCGGTAGCGTGATCCGAAGGCTCACACTGTGATCTCTTTCCATGACGCCACAACGTGGCCAATGCGATGCTGTGAGATTACAGGTCGTAATGCCATGGACTCCAAGGGCTGCTTTACTGAACCTACACCGCAACCGCGCCGCCTTTCGCTATTATTGTTTCCGACAAATTATCAATAGACGAGAGTTTAGCGCAGTTCCCACCAAGGAAACCGATATTAATCCATTTCCTAGTAAGGATCTAGTAGCAACTCTCCTTTGGCGGCATTACTAGTAAGTTCACTGCAAAAATCCTCACATGACTCCTCTTCCAACAAAAACAAAACAAAACTTCTTTTGCAGGACCAGGTCAACAGTTGGCTTGTTAGAGTTGTGTTGTTCGAAAAGCAGCATATTGTGTGTACTCACGAACAAGGAAGTGACCCTGTCCCCTGTTACTTTCCTCTACGGGCAGTCAGCAAAACCACCAAGATCGGCAGGGTCGTCAGCAGCTTGTCTCTTCCGCTCCTAGTTACACGTGTCTTATCTGAACGTCATGATCTCCCGCCTTGAGATTAGCAACTGCAAATCATTCAACAACGCAGTGAAAATGTTCCTGTATACATGCGCGGCCTGTGCCTTCTCCGTGGTTACCGGCAGCACACACCCATAGAGGCTCGTCAAGCACGAGGCAAAAATTACTGCATCGGGTACGTACAGAATCAAAGCATTTTTTTGAAGACGGTCGGTGAGCAGATGAGCGTTGCCATGCGACACGCTTATCACCTGTAAATTGGAGACATCACTGGTCCCTTGTACTTATTCGGAGGCTCTTGGCGGGCACTCGCGATGTATGTCGTCATAGGGCTTGCAACTAGCGGCTGACATCGACCGCACGCCACATCCGCCCCCGCATTAAGTCAGCTCCGCAACCCCATCATGGCTTCAGTCAACAGTGCACCGAGGAAGCCAAAGATTGTCAAGATTGAGCCGCTGGAAAACAAGGACGCAAAATGGGCTACATTTGTCAAGTGCGTAGCTGAACCGTCGTCCTTGGCGCACTGGCATTGAATTTTTCCCTAGAACTACCTACACTGATCCCGAAGGCGTCGAGCGCACTTGGGAGTCTGGCGAGCGTCTTACGCGACCCAAGGATACGGATATTGACGGTGTCGGTGTTGCAGCCATTCTTCAAGATCCCGCAAAGCCAAACGACGAACCGCGCATCGTACTCCAAAAGCAATGGCGCCCGCCAGTCAATGCCACCGTCATCGAGGTTCCAGCCGGTCTCATGGATCCTGGCGAGAGTGCTGAAATGTGTGCACTTCGAGAGCTCAAAGAAGAGACGGGCTACATTGGCGAGCTAGTCGAAGACCAAACAGTAAGTCATACTTCTCGCCTACTGATGGGAAGACATGCTGATCTTCTACTCCCCGTCACTAGTTTCGAATCAGCCCTATCATGTTCAATGGTAGGTCGTATATAGCCGGATCACCCAAGCCGATACGCTGGCATCCTTGCTGTATTTCCCACCTTAAGGCTCAACATGAGGACTATTATACAAGAGAGCCATTCGTGCCGTTCCGCATCTCCACTCACTGACCATCTGCACAGATCCGGGTTTTTGCAATACCAACTTGAGAATGATACATGTTACTGTCGATTTGTCTCGTCCGGAGAATCGCAATCCACAGCCGAGCCTTGAGGATAACGAGTTCATTGAAACGTTCTCGGTTCCACTGAAAAGCCTATGGGACGAGTGCATCGCTCTCGAGAAGGAAGGGTACGCCATCGATGCAAGAGTCGGCACTTTGGCAGAAGGAATAGAGTTTGCGAAGCGATGGAAGTTCACATAGTTCAATATACAGCCAGGGATTTGGGGTGGGAGGAACCTTTGGTACTCGCAGGGGTACCGTGGTTCAACTTTTGATATGACATGTGTCTAGCGGAAGAGCCCGCCTGTACATGTGCATGTGATACTGCACGTCCGAAACGCTAGATAGACCCTGGGGAGCTCCTGGTAAAGTTGCTCATTTCCCAGTGCCGACTCGGAAACTCTTGACTAGTCGTACAACAGTGAATAATTACTCAAGGATCTATAAAAAGATTTCACGTCATTTCAGGCACACTGTAATTTTTCAGCTGAGTTTCTGCATCATATCCACGGCTGTATCCCTAGCAGAACGTCTTCTTCTATTAAGTTGTAGCGCTGCACCAGAGCACTCAAAAGCACGTGCATCGACTATAGGAGATTTTTGCGCAATGCACATGTCATGCTTCGTGACCATCAGTTCCCAGTTCAAGATATGGGTTACAGTGCCACTACTTCTACACTAACCCTGACGCTTCAGTAACCTCATGACAGATCCTCTTCCGTTTGTTGCCCCATTTGCTTTGTCCCTCTGATCCATACGCCTCGCTCTTGCTATACTATCCACCAGCGCCTTGACCACCTCCTCTACTTCACTTCGCTCGTTCGCTGTGATTTCAAAATGCTTCGCGCCCTGACTACTCGCCCACTGTTCCGCCATGTTCTTATCCACTTGACGTTTCGCAGCATCCTCACCAACGATGACATCGCGCTTGTTGCCAACAAGCACGCATCCAAAGCGCTTTTTCGTCACATGACCACCTACCTCTTTAGCACCAATATCATCTCGACATGTCCAAGCATGAACATAAAACTCATGGGTCACGCTGGCAAAAGACGATTTGCAAGTGATGTCGTAGAGCAGAACTATACCGTCTGCGGTGCGAAGGTATTCATCGACTATGGTGAGGTACCCGGATGAGAGGGGTCCCGTAAGATCCAGGTCTCTAGGAGAGAGGGTGAAGGAGGTGCCTGAGTGCGAGATGTGGCGGGATGAGGGCGTGGATGAGACGGCAGAGTGAGAGATAAAATGTCTACCTTCGAGGAACTGGTATGGACATGTCAGTAAAAATAATTGTCAAGAGAAAGAGAGGAAGGTTGCGCGGGCAATAAGTCACGTGTTGTTGTGGTGTGGGGCGAGAAAAGGGTGATGGTTTACCATGTCGACGAAACACGTCTTGCCCACTTCAGACTGGCCGAGCACGACGATGCGATGTGACTCGGACTTTTTCGAGCGCAGCATAGTGGAAGGGTGTGGGGCCTGGGTGGAGTTGGGATGGTAGGGATATGGAGATGGCCGAGGCCGTTGTTGGCGATGAGTACGACCGATGTTAGAGCGATTGTCAAGGTGCAGAGGTAGGCGCTAAACTACATTGGAAACATTGTTAATAATTCTATTGTTATTACTATAGACGGTCCATTTCTAGGCTTTTATATTAGAAAGAATAGAGGCATGTATAGGTAGATCTGGTGTGTATCCTGGCTGGCTATGAGTGGTAGTGGGTTGTTTAGCTTGACATGCTCTAGCAGCGGTTGTGGAACCAAGTGTCAGCACTAGGCAAGGAAGTAGATGTCCGAGACTAGGTAGTGTATGAATACGACGTATAAATCATCACAGATACATAGAAGTATTGTGTATTAATTTCTTGTCGCTGTATGGAGGAGTCATGCGATAGTCAAGACAAAGAAATAAATAGAGGTCTGGACAGACACCAAAAGATCAACCAACTAGCCTGACATTTCCAATCAATATATCAGCTTCAGAATTTCATTCTTGTAGTATCATTGCTTTCGACACTATGAAGACCTTTGCCCTAGTTACGATCACGGGCCTTGCTGCTCTCGTCTCTGCACACCCAGCACAGCCTGCGGTACTCGACCCAAGACAAATAGGCGTACCAGCGCCAGAAGGATGTTCGCCATGATTTATCGCCAGCCAGCCTCTACCCGGAGGACGGTGCCCGGCTGGAACCTCTGAAAAGGTCTTTGTAAGTAATATTTTGTAGAGAAAAAATGAAGGCATCTGTGAGATCGGGCATGGGAGATGAAAAGGTATCACGGGTAAAGGTTCACACACTAACTTTGCATCTGCAGGGCTCCTGTAGAACTTGCTGTAATAAATAGAGCCATTCTAGACGCACTGTGAGGGTGGTGTAGGTGGGGGTACGGGATGAATGGCGGTTGTCAAGATGGGAGAGATATGTTTAATAGGGCTAAGTTGGATAGTACCAGGGGAAAAAAAAGGTGGAAAAAATCAATAAGTTTCCAGGATCTACAAATATTTCGACTATGTTTCCAAGTCCCAAATATGTACGGGTTAGACGGGTTTGTGTCTTTGGAGGGTGGCCCTGGGATTGGCCGAGTGCCAATGGAGAATAGTACTGGGCGCAGCAAGCTGCGACGACGCGAAACAGTAGGCGCGGTCTTATTGTGAGGCTTTCCGCGTCCAACATGACGGAGTCCGCCACACTCCCCCTGGCGCATCTGGCCACTATTTTCTTGTTCGCTCGAGCGCTGCCGCCACTCAAATACATACCACTACATTGGCTCTGGGGTACAAGCGGTGAAGAATTTAACATCGCGAATCCGAGGCGCGAATCATTCATTGGCTTTGCATCCACCATCACCACACACACACGCACAAACACTATAAGACGAGCAACACAGCGCAGGCGCCGTCTTTTGCATACAACAGCGCCATAATCAACCCGATCGCGTAACCTCGTGAACGACGTATCAAGAAAGAACATTACCAGACGTATCCAGCGACACGTCGCACAACCACCGGCCCTATGACGTACCGCGACCATAACCCACATGCATACCCACCCACCCGGCCACGGCCCCTCATCGAGCAGATACCAGATTATCGCGAAGACCTCGATGTGTCAGACGAGGAAGACGGATTCTACCAACGCGAAGACGACTTCTTCCTCCCACCCAAGGTCCAGGCCGCCATCCTCCGCACAACCGACCGCATCCCGCGCAGAATCAAGCGCCATTGTGCCGCATACATTTTCCTCTTTTTCCTGGCCATTGCCAGCTGGTGGACATACTTTGGCCCGCGCCGCACCGCATTTGTCCAGGAACTGCATCTGATGGACCACGCGCCGACAATGAGCTACGGCACCCAGGTGCGCCCCGAATTCAAGGGCATGATCCAGGTCACGGACATGGACGAGCAGCATTTGCCCAAGGAGAATAAGCGCCTCATCTTCGTCGGCGATGTCCACGGCTGCCGCGCAGAGCTCGAGCATCTCCTCAACAAGGTCGCCTTTGACCAATCGCGCGACCACATCGTCATGACGGGCGACATGATCGCAAAGGGCCCGGACTCTGCCGGTGTCATCAAACTCGCCCGCAAATACGGCGCCTCATGCGTACGCGGCAACTGGGAAGACAAACTGCTCCTCTCCATCGCCGAAGCCCAAGACCGCCACGTCCTCGTCATGCCCGACGACGAGTCCAAACTCGACTTCGTCGGCGCACCCACCGCCTCCCAAGGCAACGCCAAGCTCCGCAAACTCGCAAAGCAATTCTCTAAAAAGGATATCGACTACCTCCGCCAATGCCCCGTTATCCTCCGCGTCGGCACCGTACCCTCTCTCGGCGCCCTCGTCACCGTGCACGCAGGCCTCGTCCCGGACATCCCGCTCGAGCACCAAGACCCCTTCCACGTCATGAACATGCGCAGCATCGATCTTAAAACTCGGATTCCAACTTCCAAGCACAGTGGTACGCCGTGGGAGAAGTTCTGGAACCATCGCCAGCAGAAGTTGAAGGCGAAAGAACGTACGACGGCGGTTTATGGGCATAATAGGAAGAAGGGGCTTAATGTGCACGAGTACTCGTTCGGTCTGGATACCGGGTGTGTTAGTGGTGGGAAGCTTACGGCGCTTGTGGTGGATGGGGAGGGGAAGACGGAGATTGTGCAGGTCAAGTGTGGAGTTGAGGGGGGGTAATGGAAGTGAGTAGAGGTGGTAATGAGTACTATTATCTACTTTTACGTGGGTGATAGATATAGATGTTTGCATCTTCATGGCGTTTTTTCTCTTGTTGTTTGTTGTATGATAGTTTGGATAGATGAGTGGGTATGTCGTGGGCATTTTTTTTAACGCAAGGAATGCGACCGACTTCAATGTTGGTGCTGGTTCATTTTGGATAGCATGGGGTGTAGACTGTTGTTGCTATCATAGCGAAAGAAATGTGTCTTTCAGAAATAACATTTTGTAGGTCAGATGGTAGTAAAGTAGGTTACATGTTACAATACTCGAACTGACTATCATCTGTTCTGTTCGTGCAACTTTACTTTACCTTGCCCTCATCCCTCTGACTTGATTGAACTCTATTGTTGAAAACAGCGTGTACATATGGCTTCGTAAAAAAAACGATTACAACATACCGTACGGGTACTTCAATTGCTATTTTCACATCGAGTATCTAACCCCTTTTTCCATACAGAGTGACAGTGATGCAAGACCGTATTAAAAGTACTGCGAGGATCGGAGGTGGAGCTTGGACGGTAGATTTGTGTGAAGTGGACGTGAACATAGGAGATGGAAAATAGATGTAGATGCATGTAGAATGGATACGGATTCTGAATTCTGGGTACGAGTAGTGTAGGTACGTAGTCAATTCTGCGAGTCGTCGAGCGGCAATAATTCAAGGCGAAAGCTAATAGCTCTGTGCGAAGAGAAAAAACTTGCTTCCATTCGTTACATCATTCGGTGCCAATCGTGAGGATTTCAAATAGTATTTCCTAAATGAAACCGACAAAATCCGATTTTCTGAAACAATTCCTGCTCTGGGGTTTTCTGAAGTATGCTAAGATGAGCAGACCCTTTTTCTTTGACTGGTTGGAGCTACGTAGCGTGTATTGGAACATTGATTGTTCTAGGTAATGGCGAGAGTGGCGAGCATGTACAGCGGTAGACAGCCGGAGCATTTGATGGCTGTAGTGGTGAGTAGCTGGAGCAGCAGAAAGGCAGTTGGCTATTTACGCAGAGAATGGAGCGGAAAACTTCCAGGGAGGCGACAATTGAATCGTTGTTATTTTTCGTAGGCGAGATTTTGTGAAAGATGGATTCTCATGTGACAGAATGAGCTCTTATGTTGGAGCGAGAGGCAATGCATGACAGTATAAAATCATGCAGAAAAGCTGATATATGTATAGTTACCATGAAGATTAAGAAGAAGATTGTTGTTGTCATGGGCTCTACATTCATCTCAGTGTCTCCTCTAGAGCCTTTAAACAATTCAAGCCCACGACTGATAATGAAGAGACATTGTCTAGTTTGCCTATCTGTGAAGATGAAATAAACAATATTGGAAAGTCAGAGTGCAACTTTCCATTCTTTCAAGGAAACACTAAGCTGATATACTCATCGCAAACTAAATAAAAACTATCCAGCCTATTATAACTTTCAGAAACAGCAATATATCGCGATGGCTACCAAGATATTCATGTATATTTCATAGATCGATAGACGTGTAGATCTCGGTACATTTGGTGGCGAAAACCCGATTATGAAAACAAAGAAACAAGGGGATAGAAAGGTACAAGCAATAACAAATGATGATTCAGGTAGACAGCTGAATTCAGTTGATTCAATTGACTTAAAGAGCAATACTGTGTATGTCTAAATGACGAATGGCGGTATTTCTCTGCTCTCTCTGGTGCAGATTCAGAAGGCAAGGCAAGTAGTTTCAAGGATCTCATGACGGCACTTCAAAACTTCAAGATGACCATGACCAACTCATGTGATGTATGCGTATAGCTATCAGAGATGAAGAAAGAGAGCAGTCAGAGGACGTAATTTTGTATTGTTAAACCTCTCCTTGAGGGATTGAGAGAACAGTGAGAGAAAAAACGTCTATCAATTAGAGTTTCCGAGTTCAAGAACGTAAAGTACACACACCGACAAATCATCACGGGGGTTTGTAAAAGTGCACACAAAACTACAGACCATCTCTGTGAAAATGCAGAGCCCTCTTGAGAAAAGGATATCTTGCAAAACTTGGAAGCCGAGTCGCGTGCAACGTCCCTAAAGGGACAGTCCTGGAGCACTGCCAGCACGGGACAGTCTCAATCGCATGACTAGGCATCTCTACTCTTATCAACAGACCTGAGAATCCCGGAAAAGATTGTCTCAACACAACTTGCGCTGTTGTTCTAGTTTCCAGCTGCAAACATCCTTCTGTAGTCGAGTCAGTAAAGAGACGTCCATACCACCACTCTCACCCCCACAATCAAGCAAATTAGGAGAACAGAGCAAGCCCCGATGTCCGAACAATCTCACCTCCGATCGATGCGCGTATTTCCAGTAAGACATCAGTGGCTGATCCTCCACACTCAACTACACAGTCATCTTTATGCAAACCAAGCCTTCTCCATTATCCCGTCTCTGCATCTCACCTCCACCGTAAACGCACCGCTTGCGCCATACACTTACTGCTGTATACCAAGCGCACGCACTATCCACCCTGTCATCATATACCCTGCCAAAGCCTCATGAACGTTACACGCAACAAAACTCAAAGTTGTTCCAAAAACGCGGTTCGGCACAAACCGGCTTACCCGGGATTCAACCTTTTTGTTTTTCCCCCCAAGCGACATATGAAGTTTATGTAGCTAGTAGCTGTAGCTAGGCAACACGGGTCGACTGACGTGAGCGCGGGTCCAAGACCCGACAGCAACTAAAATTCTACAGATCTGCATCGTGTATTCTATGCTGTGCAGTAGATAGTTAAGGAGATACAGTTTGGGGTCGCCGGCTGGAATTCGGAGGAGCGGGCATGTGGGGGTGTATGGAAATGTGGGTAAGAAGGGGGGGGGGGTTGAATGGTGTACTACGTCGTATTTTCAATAAAGTTTGATGCGAGCGGCATCATGTGCCGTGGGGGATTTTTTTTGGTTGAAGATCTGCGCTTGGCGTAGATGCGGTCGGGGACACAACTTGGGGTTGCGCATACAAGCGGAGACTGGGAAAATGATGGGAAGAGGGTTCAATCGGATTGGATGAATGGGTGGTGTGGTTGTACCACATTGGTATTAACGTAGATTAATAATTAAATATGGTATAGGGTAGTTTGCACTCGACCATCTAAGTATTTAACCTTGTTGCGCTTGACTTAGAGGCTGGATCCAGCTTGAGATGCTCCAGGGAATTGCTGTTGTAGAGCATCCCAAAGCGGCTCACCGCCCTCGGTCAAATCCTTCCAGGCGGGACAGGACAAACTCAATATTGGTGCTGCAAGCGTGTCGGTCACTAGCCTAATCGGAACATCGAGTGTGGAGAGGAGTCCAGAGAGCGAATTAGGTAGGAAAGTCTTGAGCACCTGGAATACGAAGCAGAGGAGGTTGTTGTTCTCCAATAATGTCGTGAGATTGACCACGCCGTTTGTAACGTTACCGAGATCGACGCCAGTGAATGAATTCACCTTGCCAGTGTTGCCGCCAATGCTGTAGCCAAGTGTTAGGGACTGGAAAATAGACCTGCAGAGCGGAATCTCCTGTGCACATACCTGCCAAGAACGGGATATTTCAGGACCCAGTTGACAATGTCCAAGTTAAGTGGGACCAAACCATATTCGATTGTCCTGCGGTACCAGTTGCTGGGAATGGTCTCGTGCCCCTTGCGATACTCAAAAGTTCCATTGTCCTTCTTGAAAACACCAAAGAAACTCCGGAAAACCTCTTGGGTCAGAATGCCATCGGGATGCTCGGCTGTGTGGTTGGATAGGATGCGGCCAAGGAAGAAGTAACCGGCGTTGCGACTAACCATGCCACTGACAGGACCATAGTAGAAGTATGGGTTGGTTTGGACGCTGTCTGTCCAGCGACGAGCAGCCTGATCGGCGAGCAGATCCATGGAGAGCACACCGTTTTTGTCGGCACGGTCGTGGAAGTCCATGAACAAGGTCATGTTCATGGTCGCGGCATCGCCCGTGACATAGAGATCATTGCGTGTGAGCGACGAGTCTGACTCGATCCAGTTATGCGAACCCGAAAGACCTCGAGGTTTGCCTGGTTACACCAAAAATGTGAGCGACTGTCATCAAACTTTGTGGCTTGGAGATACGGCAACATACCCAAAAGTCCAATTAAGTTCCCCAAGAGGTTTTGCCCAACGAGTCCAGTGGGTGGGCCTCCAATGGAGAAACCTGGATTCAGCGAGAGTGGGTTGCCCGTCCAGACAGTCCCCATGATACCAAGAATGAGAGAGAGTTCTAGCCCCATACCCATGACTATAATATGAAAAGTTAGAAGCTATTCCATCCCCTGGTCATATGCCATTGGCGAAACGCACCTTGGTTGATAGCTGTAACGACTTCTGCAAAACTGGTGATACCAGTGCGAGAAATGTAGCCATGGTTTGCCAGGGCATTCAGTCCAGGGCAAGGACCGCGCTGGTCGGTGGACGTGGGAGCCTGGAATGCATGTCTTCCAGAGATATCAATGGGTTTTTTGACGTCGATGATGAACCTCTTCTCCTCTTGGTAGTCCTCTACTGACCGGATTGCTGCATTCAGCTTCTCCGGCGTTAGGCCATGCAGGTGACGGTGGTCGAGAGAAGGGAAAGCATTGACGACACTCTGCCCAAACGAAAGAGTGAGAAGAGCAGTTGAGAACTTCATAATGAACGACTAGAGTTGGTAGAGAAAAATTTACTTGAACGAGTGTTTGGAAGTTTAGGAATAATCAGAAATGAATTGCTGACTCTCAATCGCTATCAGCCAGTGAGCAATGGGTAATTGGTGTTTCGACGTCAGTCCGCAAGGATGCCCGGTGGAGAATGATCTGTGGGGCGTTATGCGAGCGGCGGGATCCGGATACATAAAATCCGTCAGGTACCCTATTCAGCATCTTGTCAGCGGGCTCGGCGTGTCGGTGTGACTTTGCCACCAAAGCAGTAAATCGCATGGCTGGGCAGGAAATGAATGGGGGCAAATCCTCATTTCC